AGATAAGGGTAGTCTTTCTAGTCTTAGAAGTATTAAAATATGAGTCATAGTCAGAAATCTTCACACAACGCAGGGCTCAGGCCTAGAGAGTTCTCAAATGAGTTCTGCAAACTTGAAGAGAACAGGTAATTTCCATCTCCCCAACTGATTCCATGAGGTCAGTATACCTGAGGAGACCATAGGAAAGGAAAAATTATAGGCCAGTCTAATGCATAAAGATACTTGCTAAAAATCCTACACAAGATACTGGTGAGTAATGGTATATGAAAAGAGAAATTAGTCCTTGAAATCCAACAGTCATTTAATCTGAGGAAGTTTTATTGTTCACATTAACAAATTAAAGAAGAAAACCCATATGATTAACACAACACCAAAACGATACTTGACAAAATTCAATCGCACATTTTATTAAACAAATAAAACCTAGAAATAAAAGAGGAGTTCCTTAACCTGATTAAATAAATCTATTTAGCAATCTGCATCATCTATTATTTTAAACAAGGAGAACTGAGGGAATGGCTCAAGGAGTAGAGCACCTGCCTAGCAAGTGTGAGGCCCTGAGTTCAATCCCCAGTACCACCAAAAAACAAAACAAACTAAAACAAAAGAACAAACAAAAACCAGGGAAGTGTTACTAGATGCCTTCCTTTGATCATGATTGTAATAAGGATGCTGTCTATTACTGATCTTATTCAGCATTGTACTGGAGGTCTTATCCAAGACAGTAAGACAAGAAAAAATGACAAGGAAACAAAATTATAATTATTTGCTGGTTTTCTTTACATGGAAAACTCAAAGTAATCTGGAAATAAGTTATTAGAAATAACATATTTTGTTATTAATTTGTTATAGATTACTATAGAGTCAAACTGAAAATAGAACTACTATATGATCCAGTGATACCACTTCTGGGCATATACCTTAAGGAATGTAAGCCAGGATACAAAGAGTGACTTGAACGCTTATTCCAGCACTGTTCATGATAGGCAAGCTATGAAAACAGTCCAGGTGCCCCACAACTGACCAATGAATTAAAGAAAATGTGGTATGTATACACAATGGAGTGTCATTCAGCTATAAAGAGGAATGAAATCGTACTATTTGCAGGTAAATGGATGGAACTAGAGAACACCATATTAAGTGAAGGAAGCCAGGTTCAGAAAGACAAAGTTCGTATGTTCTCTCATAAGTGCAAGATAAATCCTAAGGTAAACGTATATACAAATACAAATATATGTATATATAAGTACATATATGTATATACATGTACATATATATACATAACATGTTTGCAGTAGTGGGACTGTTGGAGGGACTAGGGGGAGGAAGGAGAGGAAAAGAGAATGATAGAGTGGATATGTTGAAATACATTTCATTTGTATAGGAAGATGGCTTAAAGAAATGCATTGAAATCTGTTGAATAATGGGGAGGGAGTAAAGGATATGAGAGAGGAGTAAAGGGGACTAATCTGGTAAAGTACAGAATATTCACAAGTGGAATTCCATGGTGAAACCCCTTTGAACAATGAGTATGCACCTCAAAAATGAAGGACAGGAATGTGAAACAGGTCCTGCTAGGGCACAGATACTAGCATGGCTGTGTGGGCAAATGAAGACAGTAAAGGAGAATGAATATGGTCCAGGTACTTTATATACTTGTATGAAGATAGAACAATGAAACTTGTTGAAATCATCTTAAATAAGTGGGCGGGGGAGGAGGAGAAGTGAGAACAATTTTGGGATGAACCTAGCCAAGACACATTGTAAGCATATGTGCAAATGTCACAATGAACCCCCCGTACAACTAACATATGTGTATATATACATATACACACATACATAAACCTTGTGTATATATATAAACATATATATATTCTTCATTGCTCATGACAGACCATGCCTGAAAGCTTCCAATGAGCATCAACATTAATGAAAAGCAATGTGCAGAGAGGGTCACATGAGCTATTGACACAGTTTCTGCTCTGATGACTCCATGGAGTATTCTGTCTACATCAAAGGTAATAACTATGCCATGTATCTGACCTAGCAGATATTCTGCTTCACAATTCAACCAACCAGCGAAGAATATGAAGCAACACTCAGAAAATGTAGGAGAAAGAGAAGTGGATTCTTTCTCATTTTGTTAAGTCAGAAGGAAGGCTATTTTTAATGTAGTATGGCTATTATTGGCATCCTTAAAAGCCATCTTCCAACACTGCAACAGAACATGAAGAAATCTTTTCCAGAGAGAAAGGCAACCAAGTGACCTAGAAATCCACCCACCACTGTCTCGGGGATGGAACAACTCAGCCTGGCAGAAGAAGCTCCCAAGGCCTGAGCGTCATGGGCAGGCTCCCAGGCACCCTAAGAATCATCATCAAGAAATCCTTCTATGAGTTTAGGGTCCCCGCCCAATCTGAATATCGAGAACTATCTGACTGAGCCTCTGGAACTTGCTATGATTTCAGATGTCCTTTAACTGAGAGAATTTTCTAGCTTAATGAAAATGAAGAGTGAAAACTGAAAGCAGTGGCTGAGAAAACTTATACATTTCATGCTGTCACCATCCTGAAGAAGACACCCAGAAGCCCTCGGTGTTAGATTGCAAGTGACTACTCTCAAAGACATAAAACCATGATTACTGCTGTTGTTATTAACCTTAAAGAAGGAAATATTTTTAAATGATAACACATTTTTATAAATTTATGTAAAGTCAGTGATCTGTGTTAAGTGGTCCAAGAGGCTGAAAATTTGAAGCCTGTTGTTCATAGGGACTGCCAGGTCCCCACATAATTTTGAGCCTTCCATATCCAGTGTGATGCTGGATCATTCCTATAGGAGACAGAACATTCTTGAAGATCCACCCAAGGCTTCTTTTCATGGGGGAATTTAGACAGGAATCTGAGAGAGTTAGGGAGGACTTCATGTGTTAACCTCAGCGTTCTGTCTCTTAGAGCATCTGTGCGTGCCTTTGTCCCTGTCATGTTATAATGACTGCATGGGATGCAGGCTGAGAAACCCACACTTGGGGATGGCTCACCATCCTGGGGTTGGGAGGATCTGGATAGGTCCTGTCCCTGCCATTTCCTAGGTGTGTGACTCTAGGGGTAGTGACCTCCCTACTCTGAGCCATCATGGTCTTATTTGGGAAGCTGATCCTTCGTTCTGCCCAGTGACTGGATTGTGAATGAGAAAATGCACATAAAAGCTCTTCGAAACCTTCGTTGTGGAGCAGATAGACAGATAGACTCCCATTTCTCCCACTCCCCTTCTGTTTCTCAGCAGAAGCCAACTCCACATGCGGTTAAAGGTAATGGCGTCACACAGGATGCCATCCTGACATCCTGTCTCCCTTCGGCCATCATTACCTGACCAGCAAGTCTCTTCTGTGGCCCTGTGCCAGAAGTCCACAAGCCTTCTGTGGTTCCGTGAAGTGACAATGTCATCATGATGTTGCCAACACTTTTCTCTAGTAGCATTTGTGCTGAAACCAAAGGTGCCCTCAGCACCTGGAGCACAGGTCCCAGCTGGCCCTGTGGCTTGACGGAGCCCATATTGTAGCTTAGCTTGGACCTGTAGGTTGGGGGTGGAGGGCACTGAAGAAAAAAACCATACTAGGAGTATAAGATGCTGACAGGGACTGGAAATGTCAAAGCTACCCTAATGACGCCAACTTGTGTAGGCACAGGGTAGAAGTCAGGCTGCTCACAAAACCAAAGAGAACCAAATGGTCTAGCAAAAATGGTGTCTTCTCAGCCAAATCTGGGAGCGCCTGGCTTCAAGAATGTTACCAATTCTGGGTAAGGAGAGTCTTTTCATCCTAGTTCGTTCTGGGTTCCTATATCCAGACCTTTGCTTGGAGACACCATGGTAACCATGATGCCATAATGGAACATTCTTTCCAAGGTGGTAGAAGAAACTCCTCTGTTGAACTCTGCTGTGTAAGGCCAGAGTGAGTTCATTTCTCGTGTAGTGGGAGCAGTTCAAGAACTCATAGGACCATCCTGAGGACCAGAGTCATGAGTGACTCTCTGCGCTATGTTCATGGATTCCTTAGGTTGTGGAGCACCGTTTGAGGTAAAGGTGTTGAGCTGGTGGGATGGTGTGAGGTGACACACCCAAGGGCTTTAGATTCACACAGTCCTGAGCTCAAATCCCAGCTCACAACTTGGTAGCTGTGTGACCTTGGGCTGGTTCCTCGATAGCTCTATCAGTTTCTGAATCTGTAAAATGGAGACAGTGAGAGTGTCTACCTCCTAGGGTGGTTGTGCAAATGAACCGAGCTAAGTGGTAGTGACTGGTTGTCACTACCCAAAAGGCATTCCAGCGTTACATAAGCCAGCAGAGTTTAACGGGAGGAGTAAATGGCTCCTCCTGTGTGGTGGATGGGCTTCCACCAACATCCTGCCTTTTCTTTTAGCAGCATTTTATGGCTACAGAACTAAATCAAGGGTTCAATTCCATGAACCAAAAACAAGTCCTTTTCAGAGGCCCAACTCTCTAGGACATTCGGACATCCAGAGGCCCAGGCTGCATTGAGAAGAAAACAAAAAAGTGGGCTGCCTTTTCTCCATCATCCATCTTGCAAACTGCTGGCTGAGTATTAGCACGGTATAGCTGCTTCCTGCCTTTCTACTGCACAGACTGAGCACCTGGCATGTGACAGGTTAGTTTCCTACATATCAGAACTTTTTTGAGAGGTACTGAGTTTTGAAACTCAGGGCCTTGAGCCTGTAGGCAAATGCTCTACCACTTGAGCCACACCCTCATCCCTTTTGGTTTAGTTATTTTTCAGGTAGAGTCTTGTGCTTTCTGCCAAGGGCTGGCTTTGGACCTCAATCCTCCTATCTCCACCTCCTAAATAGGTGGGATTACATGGCATGGGCCACCATGCTTGGCCTTCAGGAATTTTATGGGTGAAAAGGGAGAGGTGGGGAGCAGAGAAATCCCTGTGTGTTTGTGAGGGTGGTGGAATCACTGGATCTCTGTCTTCCCAGCTGCCCATGGTGCCCGCTGTGCTTGTCTCCGGGGATGGCAGAGATGAGAGGTATGCTGCTGGTGCTGCTGTACGTGTCCCACTCATCTGCCAGTGAGTGCACAGCTTTCTTTTCCAGGACTTTCAATGGCACATGTGGCCTGGCAGGGAATCATCCAGGAAAATTGAGTGGCCTTTAACATCCAGAGAGGGACTCAGGGGAAGATGACTCTCAGCACTTTGCACTGGGCAGTGCAGTGCACGGTGGGGCAGGCATGTGGGAACCTGGCCTCTGAGGCCTGAAGCCAGGGCTAATCTTGATGGGGCGGGGAGGGGGGAGATAGTTGGGAATATCAGCCTTAGGCTGCAGAAAGGCTGCTGGGCAGAGGTTAGCTCCACCTTACCTGCCAAGGGTTCACTGCTGCTCTGCAAACTGTAACCCCTCCCCCATCTCAGGGCTGGTCGCAGAAGTAGTGTGCCCACCTCCACTGCTGTTAGAGGCCATCAGAGCCTCAGGTGGCAGAGGTGGCAGCTGTGGTCCCCTGGATTAAGAAGTCCAGCCTAAAAAGGGGAGGTACTAAAACTTTGCTGCCATCTTGCCTGGTCCCACCCTGCCTTCCTGGGGTAAGATGTGAGGAATTTCTCCTAACCCTCCACCCTCCCTGCCCCCACCACACATGCGCACATGCGCACATGGGCAAAGACCTCCATCTTCCTCCGCCTCCTCTTCCTCCCGGCCAAGGAGACCAGGGGTGCCAGGAAACACAGAGGGCCTCTCTCCCCTTAAAAAGCCATGGTCAAGTGACCCAGGACAAACATTTCATCTCTGATCAGATTTCCTCCTCAGCTCCTGGCCTTCCAAGGATTTAAAAACGTCCAAGAAGAGCTTTGGAAAAAATGACAGGTTCTTGGGTTAAGAAAGATAGGTTAGTGCCTTTTCTTGGCCAATGTTCCAAAAAAAAAAAAAAAATAAGACCACCAAATCTTGTTATTGGTGTTTTCTGAAGCACTCAGTGGTCTTACAGACACAATTTTGCTAACAATCAGTTTTGTCATTGTTCTAGAAAAGTCTTTAAGAGCCCTTAGTGGAGAGATCCTTCCTTCCAGCCCTCCTTCACTATGTTTTATTTTTAATCGCCACATAATTTTTTCTTATTAATGGGTACTCCTGTCCAACTAGACGAATCTCAAGGGTCATTCCATTTTAATGTCCTAACATTGTCTGTGGTTCTATGTATATAAAACTTTAATTAAAAAAACCCACAGGCAATACAGCCCCATCTTGGACCAACCCATGGCTGGCAGGAGGAGCATATCATTCAAAATACTAATCAACATTTAACTCTTACTGGAAACAAATTCCAGGCTGCCCAAGAGACCATCCATTTGATTAGGTGGGAAGGCAGCAGCTGAGCAGGGCTGGACAGTAGGGTAGAGACAACTCTTACTGGGGAGGACCTTTCAGCTGTTTGACAACAGGAAGTCTGGGAATGGTTACATGGAACAGCCTTTTTGTTCAGATAATTTCTTGAGCACCCACTAGGTGCCAGGCACCATTCTGGCCTATAAGGATACATTCACAAGCAAAACAGAGGTCCAGAAGATCCTTGGGACCAGCTGATGTGCACAAAAGATGTCAGATAATTGCCTACTGTGTCATGCTGCATGCTGAACAGATGAGCCTTAGTACCAACACTGTAAGGTGACTTTAGACTCAAAGATGCCACCATACATCTTCTTCCAAGAAGACCCCTAGGATAAGAAAAGAGGCAGTGGTAGAGTTAGAATTGAGCAAAATGGAGAGCCACCAGGGGAGGGTCCTGAGGGCTGGTGGACACAAGCAAACAGGGACCAAGTCCTTGCCCCCCCAGTGAGTGTGCACCCTCTCTACAGCCTCTACAGATTGTGGCAACCAGAAAGCCTCTCTGGTGGACCCATCCGAGGAGAACCTGGTCAGCAGCACGGAGTTCCCATGGGTGGTGTCCGTGCAGGATATGCAGTATGCCCACCTGGCTTTCGGCTGCATCCTCAGCAAGTTCTGGGTCCTCAGTATCGCATCTGCCTTTCAGCACAGGCCAGTACCCATACCTGGGTCCCTGCAAGATGTGCACCTGCAAAATGCAATGGTGGGACAGATATTAAATAGATATTCCCATTTCCAAAATACAAATGAAAAAAAGAGAAGACAGGAGTGACTCATCCCAAGCAAGGAAATTTCATTAGGTTTTAAAGTTCAAGAATAATCCTTGAAGAACTGATGCTCTGCCTCTAGGCTCTCTGGATGGCAGCATTGCCCTCTCAGCCTTGGGTACTGGCTCTTCCCCTGGAGCACTGGTTGGAGGCCTTTCCTGAAGGCACTGGGCTGTGGCAGTGCCACACTGAAGCTGAGGCAGAGATAGCTTATCCCATCCCCTCTGAGCCTGTGGTGAGGGTGGCAGCCCTGCCGATCTCTGAATCCCCAAGCGGTCCTTCTTCCCTTTTGTGAAGATAATGCATATTCACTCTATTACTCATATCCTGAAGAATCTAAGAAGTCTGATAGCCAGCCTTCGTTTCACTCTGTCTCCATCTCCTTTTCTCCTAACTGGCTATGTTTCTCTTGGTGTAATCCTGTGATTTCTTTATCAAGTGGAAGCACAGCCACACCCTTGACGTTCTCCTCAGGACATGCTTTCTCATTTTTTTTGCAATATGGACAGGCTGACAATTTTCCAAATCTTTAAATTCTGCTTTCTTTTGGCTTAACAATTCCTTCTTTGACTTACGCCTTTCTTCTTACATTTTACTATAAGCAGTAAGGAGAAACCAGGCCACACCATCAATACTTTGCATAGAAATCCCCTCAACTAGATATCCAAACTTCTTTTCAATGAAACACAAGAACGCAATTCAACCAGTCTTTTTGTTTGTTTGTTTGCCATGTTGTAATAAGGATTGTCCTTTTCTGTTTCCAATAAAGCTCCTTTTTTGCATCTGAGACCACACTAAAATCACTTTTAACAACCATATTTCTACTAACAATCCCTTCAAGGCAACCTAGAGTTCTAAAAATGTGTTTCAAAATCTGTCCAGCTTCTACCCATCACCCAGTTCCAAAGCTACTTCCACATTTTTAGGTGTTTATTACAGTGGCACCTCCATGCTAAAATCTGTATCCATCTACTAGGGTGACAATAGAGATTTATTTCTTATAGTTCTGGAGGCTGGAAGTCCAGGCTCAAGGTGTCAGCAGGGTTGGTTTCTCCTGAGGCCTCTCTCCTTGGCTTGCAGATGACTTCCTGCTCATGGTATCCTTGAATAGCCTTTTCTCTGTGCGAGATCATCCCTGATGTCTTCCTCAATTTGAAAGAACACTAGTCACAAGGGCTGTGGACATGGCTTAGTGGTGAAATGCGTACTGAGAGAGTGTGAGGCCCTGAGTGCAAACCCCAATACCACCAAAAAAACAAAAAAAAAACACCAGAATAAACCATCATTTTGGATTAGAGCCATGCCTATTTTAATCTTAATAACCTGTTTAATGACCATATCTCCAAACATGATCCCATTGGTAGACAGGGCTTCAACTTATAGATTTTAGGGGAGACATAATTCGGTGTATAGTATTCCCCAAAACAACTGGTAGCACACCATACACATTATGCTGTCTTGGATTTTCACTCAATCATTAATTTGGGGAACCTTTTCTTTTTTCTTTTTTGTTTTCTTGAAGGCAGAGAATGGAGATTTATTGCACAGCTGGGAACGTGCTGTGGGATGAGGGACCTTTTCTTATTGACTTGTGTCACTGCACAGTATGTCAGTGTAGATAGGCCATAATGCATGGCACATAATGGAATTTGAGTTGTTCCGGTCTTTTAATTGTATCCAAAATGCGACACTACACTTGCTACAATGTGACAATGCCTATGTTACAATGCTACTCTTGTTACAATGCAACAATGCCTATGCCACAATGCTATACTTGTTACAATGCAACAATGCCTATGCCACAATGCTATACTTGTTACAATGCAACAATGCCTATGTCACAATGCTACACTTGTTACAATGCCACAATGCCTATGTTATATCACACCATATATTGTAGTATGTATAACCTAGGTGTGGAAAGATAGGGCTAAAAAAGACATGAACAAAAAAGACAGGAACAAGCTTCTGGCTTTTTCTCCTTCTACTTCCTTAGCATTTACTTCATGAATGCTAGGTTACTTGCTGCAGACACTTAAACAGTGAGGCCTTCACTACAGACTGAATTCCTACTGTCATCTGGAGCCTTTCTTAGCTGACTTGGTGCTCTTCTGCCCTGAGTCAATGTTCAGAATGTGACTCTTGCCCCTTGTTTTTGTTTTTGGTAGTGTTTTCTGTCCTTATTGTTTTTTGTCTTTCTGTTCGCTGTGTACTCTGTATTTTTTAGTGTTCATCTTGATTCTTTTACATATTTGCATAGCTTTACATATTAGCTATGTACATATGTAATATGTTTAGATTTCTATAAAAGATGATAAAATTGGTCTATGCATCCAACTCTGACTTTCTGCCCATTACCAGTTATACAATTTGATCATTGCGTTTTTACATTTTACATTTGTACTCCAATCTATAACTCTCAAGAAGTTTTCTTTTGTTCTAATTTTAATACCATATTATGAATTTCACACCTCTTGACAGTCTTTTTGCTGGATTTTCTCCATTGGATATTAGGTTTGGCTAAAATTTATCTTCCAAATAAAGGCTCCCAAGAACCATATTTTCTTGGTCTTTGCATATTCAAAAACTGTTCTGTCTGACTGGAGGTGTGGCTCAAATGGTGGAGCACCTGCCTAGCAAGCACAAGGCAGTGAGGTCAATCCCTAGTACTGCCAAGGAAAGAAAGAAGAAAGAAAGGAGAGAGAGAGAGAGAGAGAGAGAGAGAGAGAGAGAGAGAGAGAGAGAGAGAGAGAGAGAGAGAGAGAGAGAGAGAGAGAGAGAGAGAGAGAGAGAGAGAGAGAGAGAGAGAGAGAGAGAGAGAGAGAGAGAAGAAGAAGAAGAAGAAGAAGAAGAAGAAGAAGAAGAAGAAGAAGAGAAGAAGAAGAAGAAGAAGAAGAAGAAGAAGAAGAAGAAAGGAAGGAAGGAAGGAAGGAAAGAAAGAAAAGTAGGAAAGAAAGGAAAGTGCTGTCCTTAAATATGACACTTAAGTGCTGTCCTTAAATATGACACTTAAGTAAGACATCATGGCTCACCTCTTTCTTTTGAGGACTTCCTATGCATTGCCACACCTTGACCAACCCCCACTTCGGCTTCTGGTATTAAATCTTGAAGTGGAGAAGTCTGATGTGATTCTGGCTTTCTCCCTAAAGGTAGGGTGACTGCCCATTTCATATACTTGGAGAGGCCTGGTTTATGCCTATTACCCAGCTTCTCTTAATACTTCCTTTCATTTTCATTTTTTCCCTGGGTTAGACAATACATCATATTGTCAAACCTTGGGTGACTTCATCATTGCTGGTCTGTGTGTCCACTTCTCTGTCACTTAAGTCCAGCATCTTTATTAGCCATGTTGGATCTCTCCTCTAGACCTACTCTCTGCCTTTCCCCCTATAGGTCCCAGAGGGCTGATCTCTGTGGGTTCCACCTCTGTGGGTTGGCTTCAGCCAATGAGAGCCAATGAGGGACCAGTAGTGGGGACTGGGTCAGGGTCTTTATTCCCCTGAGGGGTCCTGCAGACTGGCTCCCTCCTCCTGCTAAATGTTCCACTCCACCCACCCTGTCTGATGACTTCTCCTTACCTAGAGCCCAGAGGTGCCATCAGCACCTTGTTGTGACCTCAGCCTATGCCATAGGTTTTCCTTGCATCCTTTCAAAATAGTGGTAAAGAATCTCTTATGAGGTTATCTGCCTCCTGCCCACTATGAGGTAAAGAAGCTCTTCTGCCATATTCTTCATCTGCCATCCTGTTCTGCCTAAGCCCAAGGGGCCAAGCAACCATGGGCTGAGCCATCTGAAACCATGAGCCAAAACAAATAATTCCTCCCTTAAATGGCTTATGTCATGTATTTCATTGCAGTGATGCAAAAGTAAATAACCAAGTAAGTTGTTACCATAGAAGTGTGTCATTGCTGTGAGTAAACCTGACCCTATGGAACTGGTTTGTGGGAGAATTTTGAAAAAAGACTAGAGAAGCAAGCTATAGAAAGCCTAGAATGCTGTAAGCAGAGCTTAATAGGATATTCTGGTGGAGCTCAGAAGACTGGAATGTTGACAGGAATTTGGATAGTGAAGGTCAGGCTCATGAGGTTTCAGATGAGAAGGAGGAAGGACTCTATTGGAATTTGGACAAGAAGCCATCCATGTCAAAGTCTGGCAAAGAATTTGTCTACATTTTGTCCATGTCCTAAAACTTTGGGTAAGGCTCACAATGATTTAAAAGTAATGGACTGAGTAATTTGGTAGAGGAAATAGCAGTCAGGCTGTGACATGGTTATTGCTGGCTGCGTTTAGCCAGGTTCACAGAGAGCCAAAAGCAAAGCAGAAGATGTGAGAACTGGCCAGTCTGGCAGGTTGAAAGTTGTGGACCAAGTGGGTGGATGTGGAAAAGAGAATAGTACCATTCGAAAGAAGCCAAGCACTTTGCACTAGGACTTTGTACAGGAAAAATGCCTTGAGGGCATCTCAGGAATTGACCAGACTCCACCTATCACAGGCTCTGAGGTATAAGATTGTAACTCATTTGAAACTTTCCCTTGAGAAGAGAGCCACCAGAAGAGAGCCCTCCTTGCCCAGGGCTGCCTAGAGATGTATTTTCCCAGGTTCTGCTACCTAGGCACTCAGATGCCACTGCAACTGTGACCCAGGGTGGGGGCTTGGATATGTGATGCTGGTTTTGTGGGCATGGAGAATACAAGTCTGCTGGTTCTCTTTGGAATGCAGTATCTGTCATTTTCCTCTCTTTGTTAACTTCTGTTTCCATTTTGGTGCCCCTAGTTGTGTTTTCTGTGGTCCCTGTTCTCCTTTATGCTGCTTCTAACCTGGCCTGCATTTCAGTGTTGGAGATGACTTTGTTCTTTCGGCTTCTTTGCTGAAAACCATCTTGACCAGGCTTTTCTCAGCTCCTTGGAAACAGGAGCTTGTAACTCTCTGCCATCTGTCACTACTCTTGTCAGCCCATCCTGTGTCTCAGAGGTTAGGATTCTGTAGTATCTCTCATTTTTGTGGTGTTTGCATTTGCTTCTCAGTGTCATAGCACATGGGTGATTCCCAGGAGATGAAGTGGGGAACATTCAATTTAACTCCATCATCACTAAAGCCGGAGCTTCTCCAAAGTACATTTCCAAAGTGTAGGACACAGAAAGATGCTTATATGGAAGTATGAAATGCTAAGAGCAGGAGTCATGACTGCATATTTGGGATAGCTACGACTATGATTATTTTTAAGTAAACAAACTATTCATAGAAAAGTTAACCAGCAATAACACATTAACAGATTATCTTTGAGTGTTGGAGAAAATAATGCTAAGATAGAAGAATCCCCAAGACTCCTTGGGCTCCCAAGACAGGACATAAGCTGAGGGATTCAAAACTGATTTCCTGAAGAAGTCCAAAAGAGTGAGTAAAAATTAACCCATGGAAGATGAGTTGGATGAGTATTCCAGGTTGAAAAAAACAAAATGGCAAGTGGAAAAACAGGGAAGTGGGGAACTGCCTTGGTTCCTTGGCCTCTCAAGATTCCTGTCTCTTTCTCCAGGAAGGCTGCTATCATTGTGGTTGGTATAGCTAACATGGATTCGAAAAAGATTGCTCACAAAGAGTACCCGGTCAACACCATCATCATCCATGAGGACTTTAATAACTACTCAATGAGCAACAACCTAGCCCTCCTGAAGACAGACACTGCGATGCATTTCGATGACCTGGTCCGGTCCATCTGCTTCCTGGACAGAAAGCTGAGCATGTCACCAGTCTTGGAGAACTGCTGGGTGTCAGGATGGAATCCCACATCTGCAGTTAATGCAATCCTTCTCCTAGAGGAGGCTGTGTGTGTGCTGGCAGTGGGGGTGATTTGGATGAACCATTTTTGGGCTATCTAATGCAATAATTCCAGTTCTAGAGCTTCTAGAGTTAGGCTGGAAGTCTCGAGCCAATCAGTTGAGATTCATAGTGCTTTCTCTTTTTCTGTCCCTTCTTTCATAGCATCATCTAGTTCCTTTTCCTCTATGTCTATCCCCAAACTTCAAATATATATATATTTATATTTATATATAGGCAGTGGACTCCTAAAATATTATGTACAAGCTGATGGGTGGGGGACATTATTCCCTGAACTAGATATGGCTTTCCTCTTGTGTAAACCATCCTGTTTTCTGTCATTCTTGGAAAAGACAGAAACAAGAAACAAGGAAACGGATATTCGTTAGATGTGGAGGAAAGGGTGAATTATTCTCTGCCTTGTATACACATTCAAGTTCAATGCAAAGGTAGTTTTCAGTAAAAAATCAGAGTTCTGATTTCTATGGAGAAAAGAAGTTTACAGAAGCATGTTTTACTCATTCACATTAGGATATGTAAGTTCCGTCGTGTTGACTTGGGAAGGACCTTCTTGTTAGTAACTCTTGGGTTCTTGTTGCATGGTCCAGACAGGAAATCACATGACAATGAGTATCCTGAGGAGAATCTCCGTGAAAGACATTGACCGGTGTCCCTTACCCAAACCCCGGAAAACAGGATGCGGCAGTCACACACAGCAGGAAACTGACGCCGTCTGCTTGGTAAGAACGTGATGAAGCAGAAGTTAAATCCTGAAGTAAGAATCGGTTATGTCAAGGGGAATTCGTGAAGGCAGGGACAAAGGCTTGAGATTCAAGGATGTGTCTGGGAGGACCAGTACTTGGCAGGTAGCAAGTGCTCAGAAATAACCTGCGGAATGATCAGACAAGTCAGTGCTTACTTGTAGCTCCATCACTCAAGAAGTTGAGGAAGGAAGGTTGTGAGTTCCAGGCCAGACCAGCTTCATATTGAGACCCTGTCCAAAAAAAAAAAAAAAAAAAAATCTAAGTCAGGTGTGGTGATTGAGCCTATAATCCTAGCTAAGGAAAGCAGAGATTGGGAAGGTTACAGTTTGAGGCAAGCCTGTGCAAAAAGTTCCCAAGACTCCATCTCAACCAATGGCTGAGCACAGTGGCATTGTCTGTCACTCCAAAGAGGAGTGACACGGTCCAGGCCTGCCTGGGCATAAATCAAGACCCTCTCTCAACAAAAAAGGGGCTGGCAGAGTAACTCAAGCAGTAGAGCACCTGCCTAGCAAGTTTGAGGCCCTGAGTTTAAACCTCAGAACTGCCAGCAAAACAAAATAAAACAAGAAAAACCCAGTGGATCAACGAGGCGGTTATCATTTTCAGTTAACGTGATTTAGCATGTCTAGGGCACTGACCGTGTTATATTTTTATTAGCGTGTATAATCGTACACAGTGAGGGGCATCAGTGTGACATTTCCGCATAATGGGCTTTGATCACATTTACCCCTCCCATTCCTCTCTCATCCCCTTCCCACCTCCTCCTTTGCCTTTTCCTTCTTCCTCTCTAGTAGTCTGCCCTTTATTTCAATGATCTTGTTTTTGTGTTTGGTTTTTTCTCTCTAATGCTCACAAATGAGAGGAAATGTGATACTTGTCTTTGTGGGACTGGTTTATTTCACTTAATGTGATGATCCGCAGTTCCACCCATTTTCTAGCCAGTGACTTCATTTTCTTCTCTTAGTGCCTGCGTAAAACTCCATTGTGTATATCTGCCACATTTTCATTATCCCTTCATCCATTGATGGGCACCTAGGCTGAGTCTATAATTTGGCTATTGTGAATAGTGGTATGATAAACATGAAGGTCCAGTTGTCTCATTAATAAACTAACTTTGATTCCTTTCGGTATATACCTAGAGATGGTATTATTGGATCATATGGGTATTTTTAATTTTTTGAGAAACCTCCATACTAATTTCCATAAGGGCTGGACTAATTTATATTCCTACCAGCAGTGAATAGAGTTCCTCCCCACCTCTACCGCCTGACCCCCGATCCTCACCAGCATTTCCTGTTGTTTGTTTTTGTGATGACAGCCATTCTTACTGGGGTGAGGTGGAATCCCAATGTCATTTTGATTTACAGTTCCCTGATTGCTAAGGATGCTGAACATTTTTTCATGTCTTTATTGCCAATGTGGTTTTCTTCATTTGAAAAGTGACTATTCAGTTCATGTGTCCATATATTGATTGGGTTTTTTGTTATTTTGGGTTTAGTTTTTTTAATTCTTTATGTATCATGTATAATAATCCCCTATAAGATAAATATCTGGCAAAGATTCTCTCCTATTCTGCAGGCTGTCTCCACTTTGTTGGTTGTTTCTTTTGCTGTGCAGCTTTTATATTTGATAAATCCCATTTGTCAATCTTACTCTTATTTCCTGAGCTATCAGAGTCTTATCTAGAAAGTCCTTGCCTATTCTGCTATCTTGAAGTGTTCCCTATGTTTTCTGCTAATAGTTTCAAAGTTTCAGGTTGTCTTTGATCCACGTTGAGTTGAATTGTGTACAGGGTGAGAGATAGGGATCTAGTTTCAGTCTAGTCTCTGGGGCACTCCTTGTTAAAGAGGCTGTGTTTTGTTCAGTGTACGTTTTTGGCACCTTTGTTTGCGAATCAGATGGCAACACCTTCTTGGATCTTCTATTCTATTCCATTGGTCTATGTGTCTGGGTTTTTTTGTGCCAGTACCATGCTGTTTTTTGTTACTATGACTTCATAATATAGTTTGAAATCAATATTGTGATAACACCAGCATTGCTCTTTTTTGCTCAGAATGGCATTGGCTATTCTGGTTTTTTTTATGTTTCCATATGAATTTTAGGATTGTTTTCTCTATCTGTGAGGAATTTCATTGGAATTTTGATGAGTATTGCTTTGAATTTGGATATCATTTTTTGTGGTATTAACCATTTAAGCAGTGTTCTGCTGATCCATGAATAGGGGAGGTCTTCCCATCTTCTAGTGTCTTCTATAAAGTGCTTTATAGTTTTCATTGCAGAGGTCTTCAAAATCTTAGGTTAAGTTTGCACCTAGTTCTTTTTTAAGGCTATTATGAATGGAATTGCTTTCCCAACTTCTTTTTCAGTGAGTTTGTTTTTGGTGTGTGGGAAAGCTACTGTTTTTGTATGTTGAGTTTGTACCCTGCTATTTTGCTGAAAGTGTATATTCTAGTGGAATCTTTAGGATCTAATAAATATAGAATTAGATAAATAGGGGTATGTGCAAACAGGGATTGTTTAACTTCTTCCTTTTCTATTTATATCCCTTTTATTTCTTTGTCTTGCCTTATTGCTCTGGCTAAGAATTCAAGTACTATATTGAATAAGAGTGGTAGACATACTTGTCTGGTTTCTAACATTAGAGGAAATACTCTCAGTTGTTGGCTATAAGACTGTCATAATAATAATAAATAACACAATAAGCTTTTATTATGTTGAGGTATGAACCTACTATTGCTAGATTTTTTAAGTCTTCTATTTATGAAAGGATGTTGGGTTTTGTCCAAGGCCTCTTCTGCATCTATTGAGATGATTATGTGATTCTTGTTCTTGCTTTTGTTTATTTGCTGCATTAAATTGATCAATTTTTATATGTTAAACTGTCCATGCATTCCCGGGATGAAATCAACCTCACATGTGTATGATCTTTTTAAAGTGCTGATCAATTTGGTTTGCAAGTATTTATTGAGGATTTTTGCATCTATGTTCATCAAGAAGATGTGCCCATAGTTTGCTTTATCCAGTTTTGGTGTCAGGGTAACACTGGCCTCGTGGATTGAGTTTGGAAGTGAGCCTACCTTTTGTATCTTGTGGAAGTTGAGGAACATTTACTGTAAGTTCTTCTTTAAAGGTCTGCTAGAATTCAGCAGTGAATCCATCTGGTTGTGGGCTTTTCTTTCTGGTAGGTATTTTTTTTAATTACTGTTTCAATATCATTGCTCACTATTGATATGTTCAGGTTATCTGTATGTTTCTTGTTCAGTCTGGTTTTATTGTTTTGTATTGTTTTGGTTTTTGGTGGTACTGGGCTTTGAACTCAGGATCTCAAGCTTGCTAGGCAAATGTTCTTCCATGGAAGCTACACCTCCAGCCCTTCTCCCTTTTTTGCTTTAGGTTATTTTTAGATAGGGTCTTGCATTTTTCTCCTGGGTCCAACCTAGACAGCAATCCTCCTACCTATGGCCTCCCATGTAGCTGGATGACAAGCACACACCACCATGCCCAGCTTATTGGTTGAGATGGGCTCTCACTTTTTGCCTGGGCTGGCTTCAAATAATGATTCATCCAATCTCTGCCTCCCACATAGCTGTGATTACAGATGTGCACCACCGTTTCCAGTTTGGTTCAGTTTTCATAGGTCATATGTGTGTGGAAATACATTCATTATTCCAGATTTTTCAATTTATTGGACTGTAAGTTTTCAAAATACTCCTTAATGATCCTCTGGATTTCAGAGGCATATGTTGTAATGTCACCTTTTCATGTCTAATTTTATTAGTTTGGATCTTCTCTTTCTTTTGGTTAGTATTGCTAAGGGTTTGTCAATATTGTGTATTCTCTCAAAGAATTTTGAGGTTGGCTTATTCTTGTTTTTCTAAGACCTTGAGATACATCATTATTCATTTCCTATCTCTCTCGTTTTTTAATGTAGGCATTTATAGCTTTAAACTTCCCTTTTTCATTGTATCTCACAGACTCTGTTATGATGCACTTTTGTTTTCATTTGCTTCTAGGAGTGTTCTTCATTTCTCTCCTAATTTCTTCAATGACCCACCGGTCAGTCTCCACGTGTTTATATATTTTCTGTAGTTTCTCTTGCTGTTGATTTCTAGTTTTATCCCATTGTGGTCTGATAAAATACAAAAAATTATTTCAATTTTTTGTAATTGTTAAGACTTGTTTTATGTTCTAAAATATGATTTTTTTATAAAGTCCTGTGGGCTGCAGAGAAGAATGTGTGTGGAATATTTTTTAGGTGCCTGTTAAGTCCATTTGATCTATAGTGTCATTTAATTTGAAGTCATTTTGTTGAGTTTTGTCTAGATTACCTATCTGTAGAGTGAGATATTTAAGTTACCTACTATTATTATTTTGGTATCTATCTGAGATTTTTCATGCAGTAGTGTTTGTTTTATGAAACTGGGTTGCCCGCGACCTGCATGGGTATGTTGCATGAACCTGACTAAGAGCAGTGGGAAATGAGAAATAAGACACACACAGACATACAGATATAACACGAAAAGCTGTGGACGGGAAGACTGCATGTTCCTGATGGGAAACGTGAGCACCTACCTGAGCCATAGTGTTTATTTTATTAGGTCAGTACAAGGAAAAGACTCAGGTAAAAATCAAGATTTAACAATTCTTTGATGGAAGGTGAAAGGAATGAGGTTTGGTGGGCTAATTTTCCTAAGGCTAATGAAGCTTAATTACAACACATCAATTCTGGAACCATCAAGGCACGCAGGACACCTTATCTAAGGAATTGATTAATTTGGCATCAGGGAGTCTCCTAACAGTTCTGGTACTTTATCTAGTTTTGCATCAGAGGGCTGGTATGTGGTCACAGCAGGTTGTATTCTTCAAGGAGATGCAGGAACAAAGGTCAAGACACCCGGTACTGGGAAAAATATGGTAGAAGAGGCTGTGCAAACTTCTACATGGAGAGGCTGTGCAAACTCATACCATGGAGAGGC